CATCTTGTCATAACCAACCTTCAACTGAATTTAGGATATGAATAACTCTTGATTGAGCTAGTATATACCTAAATATACTGTTTTTGTAGGTTTGCTTCTCCGATGAATCGGTTTTCCAAATATCAGATGAAAGCTCGCAGTTCGTACGCAGAAGATCCGATAAGGCTTTCCACCCTGATTGCATAAAACAAACCGTAAAACACCCTACGAGCATTATGGTATGGAGTGTCATGTCTGTGCATGGACCTGGAAGGCTCTACATTGTAGAAAAAACCATGAGACAAGACCAATACCTGAATGTGTTAAAACACAGGCTGCTACCGCAGGTTCATGACTGGTATCCAAGCGGAGAATACATTTTCATGCACGATGGAGCTCCATGCCATCAAGCTAAAAGTGTAAAGGATTTTTTGAAGAAAGAAGATATCAGTGTTTTACCCTGGCCTGGAAACAGCCCAGACATGAACCCTATAGAAAATCGATGGGCTATCGTCAAGCGGCGACTCCAAAAAACCAAAATAACAACAAAGCAGCAACTGATCGAGGAGCTCATCCGGGTGTGGCATCACGATGAAGAAATAAAAAGTGCTTGTGTAAACCTTGTAAAAAGTATGCCAAAAAGACTTAAAATGCTGATCAAGAACAAGGGGATGCATACAAAATATTAGATTTTCACTTTGCTGATCATCAATGAGTCTTTTTTGTATTCAATAAAATATTTACTTAAAAATACCTGTATTCTTATAATTTATTCATCTAATTACTTTAAACTTATTTTAATAATAACATAATAAGGTAATAAAAAGGCCTAATGAAGCTAAAATTTGTTGATCACATTTAAAATATACTAGTGGTCGTCCTGTGGTCGAAACTCGACCAAAAATAATTAATGTACAGACTTCTCTATTTTCTCCCCACACTGTAAATAAAACATGTGATTGGAATTTCTTCCATTTGTTTTGATTTTCTGTTTACATTTTGTTGTTATTTCGTCACCATCATGGCAACCCATATGGTCCATGTTAATTTTTTGAAGTTTTCAAATTAATTTTTTGTTCTTATTTGTTAGCCTATTTTAATTTTTAAAAGCATTCTGCACATCTACAGGAAAATATCTTTCCAACAGTATGCGTAGATTTTCCCTGCGATGCACACGAGCTGAGAAAAAAGGTTTTAAAGAAACATGCTTGCCTATTAATATATAGACGAGAGGTCGTCCAGTGGTCGAAACTCGACCAAAAATACGTAATGTACTCACTTATCTATTTTCACCCCACACTGTAAATAAAACATGTGATTTGAGTTTCTTCCATTACATTTGTTTTGGTTTTCGGTTTATATTTCGTTGTTATTTCGTTACCAGCATGGCAACGCATAAGAGCCATGTTAATATTTTCAAATTTTTTAACTCATTTTTTGTGCTTATCTTTGAGCCTATTTAAATTTATAAAGGGATTCTGCACACCTACAGGAAAATAGTTTTCTAACGGTATGCGTAGATTTTCTCTACGATGAACACGAGCTGAGAAAAAAGGTTTTAAAGAAACATGCTTGCCTATTAATATATAGATAGATAGATAGATAGATAGATACTAAAATCAGATATAGGTAATGCAGCTCTTTGGTGTAAAAACAGCAAAAATAAAGAAATAATTCAGGGCTACCACCTGTGAAAATAAAAAAACAGAATTTTTAGCTTATAATATTTAAAAATAACACACAAATAAGAATATGTACTTTAACCAGTAATAAAATAGTTTTTTGGCTGAAAAAAAAAAACCAAATAACTATAAAAATGAGTTTTAGTCTAATAATTTGGCCAGCACTGTATATTGTAAAATAATTAATGTGTGCAAATCAAACAACGTTTTTCACTTATTTTAGTAGATACAATTCAAGAACAGAATAAAGCAGTGTTAAAGTCTAGATACCTTTAAAAGGTTATCTATGCTTAAGTAAAAAAATATCTAAATTTTCCCCTAAACACTGCCCCACTCAGTTTGCTTCTGCTATAAAAAATCCCACGTCTTAAATATCTTTCCCAAAGAGTCTTAGGGTATGATGATCGATTTTTATGTTGTGGGTAAGGTATTGAATTATTCTTTGTTTGATTGGTTAATATTTTTTCCTCAAACCAGAACCTAGGATCTTTTATATGTAAGGGAAAATTACATGTAAACTAAAATGATTTGGATGTATTTTAAGTCAAAGTAAATCCTTGTTCACTAGACAATTAAATTGCAATTTTTAAAGTGTAATATTATAGTTTTACTTTGGAAATCATAAATACAAAGAGAACTAATAATACTCTCATAAATTACAAAATAATAGTAATAATTTCTCCTATTTTTTCCCTTTTTTTCAATACTGTTGATTGTTTATAGATTGTTTTAGATACCTCTGACTTTTCTTTGCTTTTAAACTAGTAATGTGATTTTCTTCAGTAAAGCTCGGTCCGTAAATATTTATAAGTACAGAACATCAATGTTTACATGTTTTATTTAAGTGCTTCGTCACTGTTTTTTACATAATAGTATTGAATTTTTTACCTTTTAATTTTCGTTCCATATTTTTGGTCATGCTGCGTTGTTTATTTTTTTACACGTAGTATTTTAATTCATTATCCAAAACTTTTTTTCCACTGAATAGGAAAGTGTAACAATACAGTAAATTAAAATAACTAACAAAACATCATTGATAGGTTTACTATTCAAGTTCGTTAATAATTAAAAATCAAACATTTCTGGTCAAAGTAGTTAATGTACAGTTTACGACAAACACTAGTAGTATGGCAACAACGCAGCGTACGAGTATCAAGTATTACGAGATGTAGTAAACCTAGGAGCAAGCGAAGAACATTGCTTACGTTGAGTTACAAGTCCTGTTAGTATAAATTAATGCGAACCATCTTGGTATTAACATGGAGCAACAGTTCTACACTTCTCACAAAATTATTAGCCTGCTTGTTAGTGATGAAATATAGGGTAAGGCGAACTATCTCAGTGGTATCAGGGTGTTAAAAAAGTCTATAACGGTTATGTACTTTTATCAGTCTTAGAGAAACAAAACTCATTAGCCCTACATTTTTTAATCTGTTTATATTCAGATTTTTTACGATGCAATTTTATTTATTGCTAAAAATTGGGGGGTTTAGGGTATACCCAGAATGCTTGAACATGACTAGTATTTGTAAAATCGATTTGTATTACAGAATGTCAAAACCTGGAGTATATATGTAAGCCTATGTATCACGTTTATAATAAAGGATCAAATAACTGGCATACTCAGGAAGCTTTCATTTTTTCTGTTGGATGACATTTGTTTACGATTAAAAAGGTACGTTATTAGGCCGAACACTATGTTATCAAAACTCCTCTTCATGTACAGAGCAGTGAAATATCGTCATACACCAGCAGTTTTGATTTAAACATATAATAAATTTGTGATTTAATGTTGACACAAGCCGAAGAATGCTATACTAGCATCCAAGCATGCTTGATTGAATCTTGTTACATAGGATAAAGAATATTTCATTGCTCCTTGTGCAATACAACAGAAATTATTGACAGCAGCATTCTAGCATACCCTGAGCAACGGTGACCAACTATCAGAGGCAAACCTCCCTTAAAGTAGTAGTTAGACTCCATTTTGACCTTCCATCTATTTTGGTTATCACAACCAAAATATTTGTTGAAAGGTCATGCATCATGGGATTTTGGAGACAATATCACCATTAAACTAATGAAAATGCTGATAGACACTTTATATGCGTTGCAGGATTCTATTTTGTTGCAAGCAATTCAACATTCAATCGTGATAAATCCCAATCCTCGGCAAAATACATAAATCTTTGGAAAAAGCTAAATACTTCGGCTTGCTTTGAAGATGAATTGCTGCAACGGGTCCAAAACCTCTGTCAATATTTTCTCAACTTCCTCGTTAAGGCCTCCCGAAGGCCAAATCCTCTTTGCAGCAACGTCCAAAACTTCTGTCAATATTTTCTCAACATTCTCGTTAAGGTCTCCCGAAGACTATGTCCTCTTTGCAGCAACGTCCAAAACCTCTGTCAATATTTTCTCAACTTTCTCGTTAAGGTCTCCCGAAGACCAAGTCCTCTTTGCAGCAACGTCCAAAACCTCTGTCAATATTTTCTCAACTTTCTCGTAAGATCTCCCGAAGACTATGTCCTCTTTGCAGCAACGTCCAAAACCTCTGTCAATATTTTCTCAACTTTCTCGTTAAGGTCTCCCGAAGACCAAGTCCTCTTTGCAGCAACGTCCAAAACCTCTGTCAATATTTTCTCAACTTTCTCGTAAGATCTCCCGAAGACTATGTCCTCTTTGCAGCAACGTCCAAAACCTCTGTCAATATTTTCTCAACTTTCTCGTTAAGGTCTCCCGAAGACCAAGTCCTCTTTGCAGCAACGTCCAAAACCTCTGTCAATATTTTCTCAACTTTCTCGTTAAGGCCTAGCGAAGGCCAAGTACTCTTTGCAGCAACGTCCAAACCTCCGTCAATATTTTCTAAACTTTCTCGTTAAGGCCTCCCGAAGACCAAATCCTCTTTGCAGTAACGTCCAAAACCTCTGTCAATATTTTCTCAGCTTCCTCGTTAAGGCCTCCCGAAGACCAAGTCCTCTTTGCAGCAACGTCCAAAACCTCTGTCAATATTTTTTTAACTTCCTCGTTAAGGCCTCACGAAGACCAAGTCCTCTTTGCAGCAACGTCCAAAACCTCTGTCAATATTTTCCCAACTTTCTAATTAAGGCCTCCCGAAGACCAAATCCTCTTTGCAGAAACGTCCAAAACCTTTGTCAATATTTTCTCAACTTCCTCATTAAGGCCTCCCGAAGACCAAGTCCTCTTTGGAGCAACGTCCAAAACCTCTGTCAATATTTTCTCCAGTCCATCATCAAAGTCTCCCAGCAACTAAGTCTTCTTTGGCCGTGGAAGCCTATCTTCTTGTCAAGTACCTTATTCAATACTCAATCTTTGTTTCAGTTCGTGGCTCACCCTAACGTGCAACAGCTGTTGGCCGCCATCTGGTACGAAGGACTCCCCGGGTTCCGTCGCAAGAGCATGATGGGTCAGATGATGCAGGTCGGTCAGTTAGGAGCCATGTTCCCAGTCTACTCCACCATATACATGATGGCCCCAAAGTCAAAGATGGCGCTCTTCATGAAGAAACCGTTCGTCAAGTTCATCTGCCATTCTGCATCGTACGCCTGCTTCCTATGTGAGTATTAGGATAAACTGTACATTTTTATTTATTTCATCACAATAGGAATTGCTGGGTGTTTTGGGAAACGGAGTTAGAGCCTTTATACTGTTTGGGTGAGACCATCAAAATGTCATAATTCATCAATCTATGTAGAAGTAAGATCATGAGAAAAGTTCCATCATACAGACTATAAGTAGACTCAACGCCTATTGAAAGGTCACGGTTAGATCGAGATCACAAAGATCAGGATTCAACAGTCGACTTTGTTGGTGGACACCTACCATCCATGTAACCATCAAGCACTTCCTATAACTTTTCTACTTTCAGCTCTCCTCGGTGGCGCTTCCCAGAGGATCGAATATCTCCTGATAGAATGGTTCGGCCCGGACTGGCTTCAGGAGATCCTGGAAGAGTGGAAGAGGAAGGAAAGAGGAGGAATGCCAGGATTAGTCGAGTCAGGAGTCATACTGTGGGTCCTTAGTGAGTATCTTCATGTTGAGTTTCGTATACTTAAATAAATAAACAATATCAGCAATCAGCCCCATACTTTCTCCCAATAAGCAGTTTTTTTACAAATGCAATAATTTTTCTACACTTCATTAATTAGTTGCTCCTCTCATTCCTACGCGTTTCATAATCTTCATATATGCTACAATGAGCAAGTAGAGCAGGTGGCCTAACAGCAAAGCAGCAGTAGATGGAATAAGGGGAGTAACCAAGGGAGCGGTCTGGAATGAAATGAAGCAAAGGAAAGTAATTTATTGGATCTACAAAAGACTTTGAACAATGTGTAATAGCAGTGCAGCCTAAAGGGATTTAATTTACTATCTACTCTCTTGAGGATACAGAAGTGAACAAAGATCACTTGGACAAATCCTGGAGGCTTGTGAAACAAAACACTGAACCTCAAGTCGTTCAAATCATGTACTTTTTATGAGGTTCACAACTTTGTGGAAACAAATTCTTAAAGTAAGATTTTCAAAAGAACCGAATCTCAAAACCTGGAGTTTATAAACCTCATATTGACTCTGAAGAAGAGAATGATTTAATTAGTAATGATTCATTAAAGTTTTTATTATTTTTTTTTTACTTTTATTTTTTTTTTCAAAATGTAGCTCAAATAACTTAACTTCAGAGAAAACCAAATAACTCTGAAATAAATAGGTAAGGGAGAATAATCAAAAGATCAGACGTGAAGGCCTAAGTAGCCTATATTGTCGTATTAACAAAAATGGTTTTACTTTTTACATTTTTTTAAAGAAACAAAATGTTTATTATGATAGCAATATCATCATTGTACAAAGCAATATCATCATTGTACAATAATCTTCTCTTATGTAACCTAGTTTTTACTCCATGACTCTTCCCCTATAAATCTCTTCTATAAATCAAAAAGGACTCACGGGATTGGATGATCATTTTTTTCACTGCAACACACTATACTGCAATCTTTTTCAAGTAATACTGTAAGCTTTCTATCTAATATACTCTACCTATCATAAACGTATTGAGTATTCTGAGTGAGCAACAATCTGTTTCTGTTTCAAGGTCTGATCTGGAACGAGGCACGCTCTCTCTGGGCCGACGGTCTATTGGAATATGTCAACGATCTCTGGAACATCGTGGACTTCATCCAGAACTTCTTCTACGTAATGTGGATCGTGCTTAGGTTTACATCCGTCTTTATCGTCTATGTAAGCCAATTCAAATAACACAAAAATCTTGTAGTTACAGTTGTTTGAACTCTTAAAATTTACCACTTAAAATCAAACAAGGGCAATTTTTGTGAGGCCGTATACAATTTTGACGATGTTTTTTTTTTTACTCTTCCCCATCGTTCCGTCGCGCCACGTCGGCGGTCTGGCCATGCACGGTTTCACTCAAATTGTAATTTCTTAGTTGTTTATCGACAGATTTTTACAATTGAAGTATTGTTGGATTAGTCACAATGTTTACTAGAAATTCGCACTGATAATAGTCTTTAGTAGAGTCACTAGTTTTTAGGATATACAATTTTAAATGAGCGCCATTTTGAATCGGTGCAATTCAGGAATCTGATACTTTGTAGAAAAATGTCGTATCTATCACTACTTATGTACATGGTTTGAAGTAAATCGCATAAGGTGTTCATCAATTCGACTTATAATTTCTTCCATGTTCATCAAAATGACGCATACTTTCTTCCATCCTCTTGTCAACAACCTATCATGAGTAAGTGATGGGAGTAACTATGATATTTACAGGGAAAATCACATACGTCGCAATAGCTTTAAATCGTAATTTTTACAGCAATGGGGGTTGCAGTATTTCGTTAAGAATTATAAGCACTATAACATAATAATTACAATCTGACCCAGTTATATTTTCGAAAATACGATTTTCTCTTACCGTTATTTTATATCTTTAAACAATGTTTTTTTATGAATTTGTCTAAGGAACAAATACATATTTTTCCAAATACATATAAATAGAATTTCCGGGGACTTTGTATACAATATTTGCTGATGATATCTTATAAAATAACAACCAATTTAGTTATAAACTGCACATTCTAAATTTCAACTATAGAATTGTAATACTTATTCTCTTTTCAGAGGGAATACAGTATGGGGATGAACCCCTGGTATCCCAGGGAACATTGGGACCAATTTGATCCGATGTTGTTATCTGAAGGTGCTTTTGCTGCTGGTATGATATTTAGGTAAGATTAATTCGCTTGAAAAAAGGTACTCTATACTTGAAATAAACCTCTGTAATGACTAGCTCAAACTTACGATTTAAAATAAAAAAAGGTTGATGTCTATACATATTGAAAACTAAACCTCTACATATTCTAGCTGAAACTCAAAATTTCATATATAAAATTCAATTAATGTATAAACAATAAGACACAAAAAACGAGATCTGGTACCAAAATTGCTTAGACCTGCAAAAACGGTTTTGTGACATCGGAAATATCACCACAAATGGTATACTTATAAAATATTTGAATAACTTATGATTGGATTGTGAAAAAATACATTTCTCGAATAATAAAATAATAAATCTTGATTAAGAGTTAAGAAATAATTATTTTTAAGAAGACCAAAACACAATCTATATATTAAAGAAAGTTTTTTGTGACATCTGAAATATCTCTACAAATGGTAACTTATAAATATTTGAACTTAGGTTTAGATTGGGAAAAAATACATTCACCGAATAATAAATAAAAATTGATTAGAGTTTAATTGATGCCTTAGAAATAGATTGAAAAGAATGAACAAAAAAACCGTTCAAAGACTTAGTATTAATAAATGTACAAGGTTGATTTTTTAACCTGATGTAATTATTTTTAAGTAGACCAAAACACAATCTAGGTATAGGCCTAGTCTTTTGTTTCTGAGAAAAGTTGAGAAGGTTTTTTGTGACATTAGAAGTAACTGTTCAAATGGTATACTCATAAATATTTAAATAACATAGATTTGGATTGAAACAAAATTCACAGAATAATAAATCAATATTGTTTAGAGTTGAGGAATGACTTATAAATAGATTGAATCCTAAATGAACTATTTAAAGACATAGTATTGTTAAATTAAAAAGATTAAATTCCTTTAAACTGATGTAATTAAATTTACGAAGTCACAATCTAGGTATTATAAGATTAGTCAATTTTCAAGTCTTATTAGATTGGTCACAATACAAGGTGGAAAAACACTGAATAATGCGTTAAAATTATTTTAATGACCAGTAGTTTTATTAAAATTTTTGAAGCTCTTTATACTTTTAGATATTTAAATGTTCCTGGACTTTTTTGCACAATAACTGGATTGATCATTATGTATTTTTGCAACAGTGATGGTTGTACAGCTCATTACTGATATCTCTGATCTGATTCTGTGTTTCAGTTTTCTCAAGCTCGTTCACATCTTCAGTGTAAACCCTCATCTCGGTCCTCTGCAGATCTCCCTCGGTCGTATGATCATCGATATCATCAAGTTTTTCTTCATCTACACTCTCGTACTGTTTGCTTTTGGTTGTGGTAAGATTGAATAAGATGTCTTTATAATAGTTTAAGTATGTGGTGAAGTCTTTCTATTATAATTCATCTTCTAGTCAAGCTATGTTGTGTTGAAAAAGCAAAAGGGAAGTAGTTTTAGGATTAAAATACAATTTATTGCACGTGATAAAAAAATGACCATAAAGCAAAGAATTTCGTAGCAAGTTGGGTTTTAAAAATCGGCTATTGCTTTTATAAAAGTGAAATCTTCTAAAATATAACTAATAGACATCACACTGTGCACTTAGGCTCTTCTAAAGTCTTTGAATATTTATTTTGATTCAATAACTTAATGAGTATTTAACTAAACAAGCTTAAACAAAAAATAACTTTCTATCTGCATAACGATTTCTTTTGTAAAATGCACAAGGGTCAAACAAATCATTTAATGACCACTGTAATACAAAAGTCAACACAATGATGTTCATATTTGGAAGTTGAGTCCCATTTTGATAAAACATTTAAACTGAACTATTTAAAATAGAATAAATCTAAAGAAGTTACGTAAACTAATTTAAAAAAAATTACATCCGTCCCGAAAGTGTACCTTCAAATATTCTTGTAGAAAAACACAAGTCTTTGCTATTTTTATTTATTTGATTTGACCTAGCGAATGATTAAAAATTAAATCTTTACAAAGTACTTTAACGCCAATTAATTATTGCACTTTTAGTAACATGTAACTTACAAAATTGGTCAACAAAAATGCAGCAAAGTATAAATATTAGCAAAGTAATATGTTTCAAACATGGACCATGATGCGGAAGCCACTATCACACCTCCGTTCAACTTTGTACTTTTCATGTGTTGCAAAATGCATCACTTCCTTTGTTTAACAGTGAACAAATTGACATAAATTATTTACCTTCAGAACAGCACAGGTGTCCAGCAACTTTAACCCTTTTATCGGATGTGGTAAAGTTACTACTTTAAAAACTTACATCAAACATAGTAACCTTATTAAAACTAACATCCTTATATAAATTAGGTTTATTTTGTTAATATTTATAGTGAGTGTAAGTGCAGTTAACTTTATTTAAATGTTAAAGTAAATATGATTTTTTAACTGTTTACTTAGTTGTAGCTATTTGTGCAAAGCTTCGTGTGAAAAATTTAGGAGTAAAAAAAAATACACTTTGATAACCAATTGCACAATCTTTTTTCCCTACAGTTTTTTGGAATGTGACGAATAAACTATTGTGCTAAACAAATGCATTTACAAATTAAAATTCGGAAAACCAGAAATACTCTACATTGAAATACTGTTAATTATCCTAATAAATTAATACACTTTGATAACCAATTGCACAATCTTTTTTCCCTACAGTTTTTTGGAATGTGACGAATAAACTATTGTGCTAAACAAATGCATTTACAAATTAAAATTCGGAAAACCAGAAATACTCTACATTGAAATACTGTTAATTATCCTAATAAATTAATAATTACTTTGCTTTAAAACCAAAACTTAGTTTGTTTTATTTATTTCATTTTGCATAGGAGGTATAAGAATTTCTCGTATGAGCATTAATTTAATCATCATACTGTTAATTTCCTTCTGATTATTATTTAAATGAAATAAACTTTTAACATTTTTTTCTGTCCAGTTATCATCCTGAGCGAAAGTAGTAGGAAAAGTGAATAGTTTAAAATGGGATTCGAAATAGTTTCATACTAAACTTACTTTAAGTTACACTGCAAATAAAAACTTCTGGCCAACCTAATTCTGTACAGTTCAATTCAAACTAGTTTATAAATAATGCATTAATCCGATGAAAGGTAAAATACCACTAATTTGAAATAAATATTTGGGTTAAAATCTCTGTCTAACACATGTGGATATTAAATTAATGAAAGGAAACTAATGAAACAAACAAAACAAATTAAAGTACCTCTTGTAAGATTACACTTTCAATCATTTAAGTGTCTAAGTATACATGATACATCAGTTTAAACGTGTTCTCACAGGATTGAACCAGTTACTCTGGTACTACTCAGACTTGGAGAAGGCAAAGTGTTATCATCATCACACGGGAGTTCCGGACTTTGACCAACAAGAACGAGCATGCACCATCTGGAGAAGATTCACCAAGTAAGAGTCTTTCCCTTTGTGCAAAAGTTACTAAAAAACAATTTCTCCACACTGGTATCTAGATGTGTACTAACCATCTCCAGCATATGACCGAGAAAGAGATTAAATTAAGCTGGTCGATACTATGGCAAAGTCTTAAAGAGACCATCCAGAAATTCACAGAAGATGAGGTGGAATATATATGTTTCCCACAGACATCTGTCCAAGTCCTATAAAAGGTTGGCAGCAAAATATGTTGGGCATCCAGTAAAAATAATGTTGGAACCCTATACTGCTGTCCTCTACTAATGTGAAATCTCAACCTGTGATTAATTTTAATAAATCAAGTTAGACTCTTTTCAACAAAGGCCTATTTAATGTTGCATTATGCTGTTTATTTTCTGGAATGCTTCCCAAATGTTTATCAATTTAACTTTTTAATTCTCATTTGATTTAGTTAGCACTGCCATTTTCGTAAATTGTAAGTAGTTACAGTTTGAAAATCAATAAACGGTATCAGCATTCTGACACATACTTTCTCCCATAAGTTTGTCAACAACCTTTATCATGTGTAAGCGGTGAGAGTAAATATACGGAAATGGAATTTGTACAATTTTGCTCATTTTTTAAAAGAATATAACATACAAAATTTTTATCAAAATCGTTCGGGCCATTTTTGGGAAAATCCTATTATTCCCTTTTTTATGGGGTTTTACGGAAAAATCCCATTAAAAAAAAAAATTCTAAAAAATGTAAAAAGCTATCAAAATTGTAAGGACCATAACATACTATGTTAAATCAGGGTTAAATAAGGTTTTTATGGGAAAATAACATAATAAACTTTTGAACCGTAATTTTTACAGAAATGAAATTTGTACCATTTTGTTCAAAATTTAAAGGGCTACAACATACTAAATTTTTATAAAAATCGTCCAGGCCATTTTTGAGAAAATCCGATTTTCCGGTTTTTTTATGGGAAAATCCCCATTAAAAATCAAAATTTTAAACAAAAAAAGACAAAAGCCTGGAGATACCATGGATTAGAACCTACATACCAAATTTCATCAAAATCGGACCACAGGTGTGGTCCCTAGCTCTGTACACATCCAGACACACACACACACACAGACGTCACTTCGAAAACCACTTTTTTGTAAACGAATATATCCACTCAAAACTCAAACTCGAAAATTTTGACGAAAAAATACTTTCTCCATATACTATGGTGTAGGGGGAGAAAGTAAAAATCAGTTTGGCGATGTTTGAATAAGAATTAAAAATAATTATGACTTAATCGATCAATAGCATCCAATATGCCGAGGTACAAATTACACCCTACATTCTTCAGAATGGCTAATATTAGAAAATCACATAGTACTTGTAACCAACAATTTTAAAATAACAAAACTCCAAAATGTTCCAGTTTGTTCGAGACGTCGCAATCCTTGTTTTGGGCCAGTTTTGGACTCGTCGACTTGATGACGTTTGATCTAACCGGGATCAAAGGATTCACAAGGTTCTGGGCGTTGCTCATGTTCGGGAGTTACTCTGTGATTAACATCATAGTGTTGCTCAACATGCTCATCGCCATGATGTCCAACTCATACCAGATCATATCTGTAAGTTGCTCATGTCTGGACCGATATAATAGTCCAGTCTAAGAAGGCACTTGTGCACTGTGCGGGAAAGCTGGATTACAGTGGAAAGTAATACAATTTAATTTCCTCAAAATTGCCAGACACCTAAAACCCTAATCGCACCTAACGGACCTAACTTTGAGTTTGAGAAAAGAGCGTCTTCACCCCACGAAGTGCCTTCTTAGACTGGTCTGGCTATATTTGGTAATCTGGTAAGACCTAACGATCCAATGAGATGTACATATTGCCTCCTTTTTCCTCGGCTTTGACTGCTTCCATTAAGACATTATTTTGGTATCAATTTCGTTTATTCTTAGCCCCCTTTACCCTTAACTTTTGCTATGGTTGAAGCATTGTGTAATTTATGTAAAATGAATTAGATGCTCGTCAGCTTATTTTGTGTAGCTGTCTTTGGTCCGTAGTTAAATTGTCCGTTTTAGATATTTACTAATTTTATTAATTTTCACACTATCAATATTTTGGCCAATGAATATATTATAGGTGTTCTTTAAGTAATTTGGTTTAGTCAGTCTTGGACCTCATGAATTTTGACATCTTCGATAGGTAAAATGGTGAATAGTAGTCAGAGGAGCCTACATTCTTTTCCTGTATAATGCCCTCTGCAGCGTTTGTGATTTGTTTTGCCTTGGCAGAGTTAATACAGTAGCATAGTGTATGTTTTGTGATGTAGAGAAGTTTTTTAGTTCGTTTAAATATTTTATTTGACCATTATAATTCGTACCTAATGCAATGCTTTGTCAATTTTAGTCTATAAAGGATACTTTTATCTATTGTCTCTATAACTCTCTGATTTTCTTGGTAAAGAAGTTCTAAGTTCAACTTTGGAATTAATCCATAGAACAGGTATGCGTTTGTCTACGAGCACATTTTATGCTTTATTATCCATGCTTTCATTCACGTATTTTGTTTATTTATTCATGAATCGCTTGAATTCTTACGACGTAGAGATACTTGAGTATCATCTATTATTACGGACATCCTAACAGTGCTTCATCCTCTTGTGTAGTTTATTCAGGAGTTGTCATTGACAGTAATATACAATGTTCCTAACACCTCGATAAAATCATCACAATAATTTCCTTCTTAGTAGGCTCTCGTGTTATCGAGATAGACGTGTCCTTTTCTGATATCATATTATAATTGTTTACCATTTTCTCACATAATGAGTGCCCATCTCGGGCAATGACAACCCTAGACTTTTCAAAATACAAAAAAGAGCCATCAGATTAATCTTCAATCTTAACGATAGTCTTGCAGATCTGTGTTTCGTTCAAGTAATATGAATCAAATAAAATCAAAATCATATAAACACAAATACTGTGTTGATAATGTCAAATTAGAGGCAGTAGTGCATCATGTAGTGAAAATCGACCGCAATAGAAGAAATGAATGATCGACAATAGACATGCAAAAGATCTTTGTATAAATAGGCTTATTAAATATTTGATTTACAGAGTCAACACATCTAATGAAACTAAAACTAAGTCGCTAAAAATTAAGAGATGAGACTGAAAATAACAGTTTAAATATTAATAGGCTTAATAAATACGTAACAAAATTCTAAAGTTAGATTAACTAAGTAAATATCACAAGATTTTACAAATAAGCTAAATGTCACAGTTCAAAAATTCGTCTACTTTTAAAAAACCTATAAGCTTTTATTACAGTTGATGCTATAAATTAGATGAATTTCAAAAGTTACAAAATACTAATAATTTAAGTAGGAATAAAAACTTATGTGGAAATTAAGACAGGATATTAACTAAGAAGATGCATTTTGTAAGCTAAGTGCGAGTAACAACACAACAAGTTTATATCCTAAGGAAGCTTACAAGGTGACTTTGGGTGTTAAGTGACTTAGTTGAACAGTTTGGCGAGATTAGCATTGTAGTAAGTTAAAACCAACTAAAGATAATGTCTTGAGAATAACCCCAAGGTTAGAAATTGTTTAGACGTTTTCGCAACAAAATATAAAAAACATTTTTCTAATTTACTTAGATAAATACCATCTTGTTCTATGAAATACAAGTGAATATTTGTAATACCATGGCTACATATTTGTGATACCAAGGCAAAATATTTGTGACGCTAGGGCAACATATTTGTGATACTAGGCCTACATACTTGTGACACTAGGGTGACATATTTATGATACTTTGGCTACATATTTGTAATACTATGGCTAAATATTTGTGATACTAATGTTACATAGTTGTGAGTCTATTTATACATAATTTTTATTCTTTGGCCACATATTTGTAATTTCGTGGGTAGATATTTGTGATAACATAGCTAGATAAAATTGTGATACAAGGGTGATACTACGTCTACATATTTGTTATACTATGGTTACATATATTTGTAATGACTTAAATACTAGATCAATCACCATTTTAATTGACATAACATTGTTAATTTTTAAAAAAATGTGTTTATATGATAATTTTATTATATGGATGACATTAAACGAGGACAACAAAATGCATAAATTATCAAAACATTTTGTAGCAATATCATAATTAGCTAAGTACTTATGTGGTTTTACCTCTTAAAATATTATTTCAACTAATTGTAAACGTCTACAATCTCTTGGTGGAACTATTTCACAGAAATTTGAATAATCTGGCTAAAGGACTTTTTAGACAGGTATGTAAAATAGTTCCAATGTATTGAATTCACTGGAAAAGTGATAACTGAAATCGGAAGAGTCAAATTATTCAAAGATTTACTTACAAAGAGAATTTATGTTCTCAGCATGACCTCATACATAACACGGAGGTGAAATGATTGAGTTAATTATGATAAATGTTCCTCACTGCAAGCCCGACGACCAACATGGACGGGATTAAGCTCACACTGTTTAATCTCGTCCTGCTCTTAAAAAAATCAATATTACAAATCAACCATCTTTATTCGTTAGTATACTTTATATACTTTAAAAAGTTTTAGGTTATCTTGAACTAATATTTGTAAGGTTTTCTTGATCGGTTGTTTTATTAAATACCGGTACGCATTTTTTCTCAGATTTGGTCCTAATGATTAATATGTAGGATATAGCTTAGTTCAGTTGCAAAAATAATTCTTAAGCCAGACTGAAGAAGCCTCTGTCCTAAACACATATAATTCTAACTCATAAATTAGTGAAAATACTGTTGTCGTAAAAGTATACAAACCTTAACAATATTTTATAAACACTGTAAAGTCGTTTAGAGTAGAACATATTCACAAAATATAACAGAGAAAATGAAAATGATCATACAGCTGTACTAGCTGATATTACAATAAAACTAACGAATAATAGTTAAGGATCTTTATACTACGAGGAAATATGACATAATGTAAATATGATGAGAAATATGGTTATTAAATCGGACAGCGGGTAGGTACATAGTTTGGGCAACATTCATTGAACAAGAGAAGGCTCTCCACACATACATTAGAGACATGTTGTCATGCAGAACTTGTAGAGAACATCATTGATTATAATAGGGCAGGTCTTGTTTGGGGATGTAATGATTATATGTCTCCAAACTCACAGCTGAGATAGTGAATTTATATTCAGTTGCTCTTGAAATGTTACTTTGAACATTGTTATGTAGTTATTTCTTTGTTTTTCTTTGTTAATAATAAGATTACGTTCTTGAGATTACTCTACATCATCATAATTGTACTTGTTATTAAATTTACGGAAAGTCAATAAAAATAGTTAAAATAACATTTGAAACATACAGTTATGTCACAAGACGGTTAACATATTAAAGATGGCAAGCCATTCTATTGGGTCTTATGTTGATAAGGTGTCCAATCGAAATCTTTACCACTAATCATCTTTTATATGTATTTACCATCTTGAGAGTCATCAATAGTTGTAAATATATTTCAAGAGTTTTAGACATAATTTTATTTGATTCTCGGTCGTTGGTTCGTAAAGCTTCTCTTTTTGAGATCAGGATTATGAGTCCGTTTTAAGGTGGGAAAGAGACAGAAGTTAGAGTAAAGCCCAGACCACTTTAAAATACGATAATGATTTAACAATACATTTTTATTTTAGTCAAGTAAAATAAAAAAGAAAACAAGAAAAACTAAATTAGTTACGAATTAGATAAAACTGTTACAAACACACTGTAACCACAGCACAGTCCGATGAAAAAGAGCTACAAATTATTTGAAATCTTACAAGGTCCCTTGTAGATAAAATGTTTAATTTTAAAGACATATTTGCATTCAAACCACTGTTCAAAGTTGTACGAACATTATCAAAATTAAACGTACAGAGCATTTAATGGGAATATATGTTCCCGTTTATATGTAAAACGTCACATAATTGGTGTGACGTTTTACATATAAACAGGAACATATATTCCCATTAAATTCTCTGTACGTTCACATATACTTTTGAAACTAAATGTCAATTGAAATATTAACACTCAAGTTTTGAATCTTCTAATCCTACAGACTAGGTTTGCCTTTCGATTGTTGGCAATTTGAAAACCAACACGCATTTAACACACGAATTTAATAAGATTTCAAGATTACGAAATTCACAGTCGTCTAGTTGAAGGGAAACCTTTCAAACGGCCTTGAAATTCGAGGGCTTCACACAGTAAGAGACTTATCCACCGCTCTCACTAGTTGTAATACTTAACGTGTGTTATGTGTATTTATCGTAGGATTAAGGTTCCAAATTCTTCTTTCTTCTGTTCACAAAAACAATCCTTTGTACCTTTGATTGATTATTTTTGTCCAAAATAATATAATCATAGTCCCGTCATAAGATATTGAAGAAAAACAGTGTGTTTAGTTAGATGCTATTTTGGAATTCAAGACATTTCCAGACTTGTTATTTCAACTATATTTATCGAATCTCGATTCCGATACCATTTTTTTAGTTTTTAAAAATCTTATAAATTAGTTGCTTAAACTGCACCAACTCTATGTCATCAAGTATTTTTGAGATAAAGAGGTGTTTTTCAAAGTAAATGAAAAAATAATGCAACAATAAAAATTCTAACCTTCTTTACACATTAGATAACTACCTTGATAAGGTAAATGAAGATCTAACGACGGGAGTGAAGGAGCTTTGAGAATTTGAGTTGTTGAAGTACTGATAACTAGTTATACATTGACTGTACATATAAAAATTTAATGTCGTCTATATGTGTTTAGTCTTTCGCAAAAGATTGTATTTTTTTATATTCAAATGTTTTCACACACACATTGTTAATATGAATAAAAGTTTGTACAAATCTTTCTAAATGTAATAAAGTACTTTTCGATTTGATACTAAACGTTTAACTGCATTGTTAAAATTAAATTTGGTGTCTAAACTTTTAGGTTTTCCGGTTTTCCAAAATTTTAAAGTTCAAAGGTTTGTAGTGTAAATCTTTCAAAATGTTCTTACAATGCTCTTGCTCTTGTTGTTTTGATATTTAAACGTTTTTCCTGCACTGTCAAAATTAAATTTACGGTCTTTTTAATAAGGACTTCCAAAATGTAAAAAGTTAGTATAAATCTTTGGAAATTAAAAAAAAAACTTTTGTCAGTTTGGTATACAAATGTTCTTTTCTGCACTGCAAACATTAAATTTTACGTCTGATTTTTGAAAGATAGATCTTTTATGATAGTTAAAATAAAAAGTTTAGAGTATAAATCTTTAAAAATAAAAATAAAATTGTCTTGTCAAATTGAGATTTAAATGCTTTTTCTGCACTGTAAAAATTAAATTTCTTGACTGCGTTATTATAAAGTCTACCAAAATGTTAACAGTTAGTATAAATATTTCAAAATTTAAACAAAGTTCTCTTCAATTTGATTTTCAAATTATTTCCTTCACTACACAAATTTTAATTTGATGTCTGAAATGTTTACGACATCTTCCAACATGTTAAAAAGTGTAAATGTTCTTAAGGATTTTACATTCAAATGTTTTTCATGCACTCTTAAAATTAAACTACCTGTTAAGTTTAATTTTTAGAGTTAAAGGTTAAACGTTTGTAGTACATGTAAATCTTTCAAAATGTAAAAATATTCTTATTGATTTGATATTTAAATGCTTTTCCTACCCTTAAAAGAACAACATGCTGTTAAAATGTGATTAAGTGAAATAGTAAGTAAAATAATAATCCAAAGATGTTAATCGTAAAATATGAATAATAATAATAATTAGTTAATGTACAAAAACATAGCAGCTTGCTTTGTAATAACTTTTGGTAACAAAATCATAAAATAATTACATCCAAGATACTACTAAGAACCATTACACCCAAAGACCATTCAGTTAACGGGTTTCAAAATCACAAGCTTCTATACAAATGAGGCTATCATTAGAAAGGCTAATATAATACTTCTTTTAAAATTTGTACAGATACATTTGGATTTAGGAATCTAAAGAATCTCTAAAATAGCACACTCACTAAAGGGGTTTTCATTTTACTATTCCTTTAATATAGGTATAGGTGTACTAACAATGTTTTTTGAGGAGGTCCACAATATATTTCATCAGGAAGGCTCTTGTGTTGCCTTTCAATAGGCCCTTTGCTAGATTTTGAGCATAAAGTTAATTTGTTGTAATATCTTCCATTCAACTTTTTGCAGTTCCCCCAAATGGTCCAGCTATATTTTGTGGAACCATGGTAACTGAGGATGGGAAGAAGAAGAAAATCAACCTTGCTGTAGAGCCTTTTAAACCTATCAATACTTCCCTGTATCTTTGTGACAATAAGGTCAGAAGTACAAGTCATAGTCTTTATCTAACAATGCTAAATAAATTAAAGTCTGTCAAAAAGACAACTCTCGTTATTTTAAAATATTAGTTATTTTTAGGTTAAGTTATTTCAATCAAAAATTCAACTTGTCTTTCTCCAGGGCAGCAAGGGTTTGGTGTAAATGTCAGACATTATCCCATTCCTTCTCCTCTGAGATTCAGAGCAATAACCTCTGAGTAATTTTTGACTTTCAGCAATGTACATCTTCCTCTCTTTCCCTTCTTCGGTTACCTTCGTTCCATTTGAATTTAGGAATCTCAAGAATCTATACAATAGCATACTCGCAAAAGGGGTTACTTGGGGTAATATCTTCCATTCAACTTGGATATTGGCCTATAAATAATAAATATTTTGAAATAACGAGAACTGTATTTTTTAAACACTTTTTTGTGAAATATTAGATCTGACATTGACGTTTAGTTATTTATTTAGCAATGTTAGATAAAGACTATAACTTTTACTTCTGACCTTGTTGTCACAAAGATATAGGGAGGTATTGATAGGTTTAAAAGGCTCGACAGCAAGGTTGACTTTCTTCTTCTTCCCTTCTTCAGTTACCATGGTTCCAAAAAATATTGCCAGACCATTTGGGGAACTGCAACAAGTTGAATGGAAGATATTACAACAAGTTAACTTTATGCTCAAAATCTAGCAAAGGGCCTAATGAAATGCAACACAAGAGTCTTCCTGATGAAATAGATTGTGGACCTCCTCAAAAAACATTGTTAGTACACCTATACCTATATTAAAGGAATAGTATAAGGAAAATCCCTTGGTGAGTATGCTATTGTAGAGATTCTTTAGATTCCTAAATCCAAATGTATCCGTACAAATTTTAAAAGAAGTATTAGCCATTCCAATGGTGGCTTTATTTCTATAGAAGCTTGTGATTTTGAAACCCGTTCGCTGAATGGTCTTTGGGTCTAATGGTTCTTAGTAGCATCTTGGATTTAATTATTTTATGATTTTGTTACCAAAAGTTACTACAAAGCAAGCTGCTATGTTTTGTAAAATTAACTCGATATTATTATTGATATTTTACGATCAATATCTTTGGATTATTATTTTACTTACTATTTCACTCAATCACATTTTAACAGCAATTTGTTTTTTTATGGGTAGGAAAAGCATTTAAATATCAAATCAATAAGAATCTTTTTACATTTTCAAATATTTAAATATACTACCAACGTTTAACCTTTATCTTGTTGAGTTTAGTTTTAGAGTGCAGGAAAAACATTTGAATATAAAATCGATAAGAACATTTACACTTTTTAACATGTTGGAAGATGTTATGAACATTTCAGACATCAAATTAAAAGTTTTGCAGTCAAGTAAATTATTTAAAAATTAAATTGACAAGAACTTTGTTTGAATTTTGAAATATTTATACTCTTCTAACATTTCGGAAGACTTTATTAAAACGCAGACTATCAATTAAATTTTTACAGTGCAGAAAAAGCATTTAAATGTCAATTTGACAGGACAAATCTTTCTTATATTTTTAAATATTTACACTCTAAACTTCTAACTTTTAACATATTGTAAGACTTTTTGGAAAATGAAGACAACAAATTTATTGTTTGCAGTTCAGAAAAAAAACATTTGTATACTAAATCAAATACAAACTTCCACGTCCACTGCAATCGCGGCAATATTTTGATTATTCTCGGAGGCCGTGTAGACATCATCGTCGATTCCCCCGGTCATAGAAATGTGATCGTCGTCTTGTGCGATCATGGAAAATCATGAATTATTTTATTGTATATTACATGGTCCATAAAACTCCTCACTGTGACAACAAAAAGAGACTAAATCCAGACTTTTCAAGAACATTTTGAAACTTAATACTGATTCTCGACAATTAGACACCATGAAAAGGTATGAAAGAGCAAGTTATTCCAATTACAAAATCAGTAATAAACGGTATCAGCAATTTGAGTTTTACTTTCTTCTAATAGCATGTCAACAACTCTTAATTGCAATGGGAGTAATTATGATATTTTATGGGAAAAATCACATAATTTGCAATCTTTTAAACCGTAATTTTTATAGCAAAATGGATTGTAAAATTTTATCTGAAGTCTAGCATACTAAACTTTAATCAAAATTCGTCTGGCAGTTTTTTTTCACAAACCTAGTTTCCCGTTTTTATGGGAAAATCTAAGGAATTGCAAATGAAGTCAATTCGGAGTAACGAGCGAGGGGATTAACAGGACATCCCTGTACACTGTTTACTTGTATTTCCTTCACCTTTCCAAGTACTGACTGTGTATGGTTTTGCTTCGCATAAACAATAATACTTAGGACCATTCTGCTTCAATAACTTTTGAACCCTAATGGTGTGTGGTTTACAGGAACGTTCTGACACCGAATGGAAGTTTGCCCGCAGTGGACTCTGGATAAGTTATTTCGACGACGGAAACACCCTGCCTCCGCCGTTCAACTTGTTCCCAACCATGAAGAATGTCAACAACTGGTTGTCTTGTGGCACCGCCAATAAGAAAAGCTCAGGCTCTGTGGTGGTCAGTACTGTAGTTCTATTGGGGTTTCAGGAAATGTAACATGGGAATGAAATGATCATTAAGGCTTTAACGATTAAATTCACACTAGAGTGGGTCTTAATGGGTTTCACATTGCAAACATGGTATGTCGACGTTTTGGCCTCTTTGCAAAGGTCCACTCTCAGAGTTACGGGACATTCATAATGGCGTTGGCTACGAGAGCGCTTATTACATCGGTGAGAATCCTGCGTCAGAGGATAGTATAGTTTCTATTCGTCCCTTACGAATGAAGAAGACTGACTGGGATTGTTAAATGCTTTAAAGTCACTGTGGATGGTTCATGAAAGTAAAAACAAACCGTACAACAGTATCCTCCATCTGAAGAAGTAGTTGGCATTGAATAAATTAAATCTGTATCACTCAAGGCGAAAGTCGCTTCCTATTCAGTCTTCATCTAAATACTAGTAAGGTGACAATTAGCAAGTTAACTCTCTGCCATCAACGTAAGAGTTTGTAAAGACTTTGGAAAAATTATAGCAATAGAGTTCAAAAAGTGACTCAAAGTTATTCAAGTCAGGAAATTATTCATTTTTAATCCTACTAGTATTAAAGTAGGTCCTTTGATTTGTCAACGTGTTGACCCAGCAGACCATGTACCAATACCACTCGTCCTTCCTATATTTTGGTCTTCTGCCCACATCAGTCCCGAGCGAACTCTTTCTTTAACGAACAAAGTGAAGTCGTCGACTTAGGCAAAATGGGGACCTACTCAATTCAGCCCCCTGCCTAAGTTACTTCCAGTCTTCTCTCTAGTCACAATGATTCCCTTCTTCGTTTTTTTTTCTTTCACCTCTTTTAAATTTAGCATGCATTCTTTAACCATTTAAGGTGATGGGTTCAATTTTCCCCTTGGTGTTGCCACAAGTTGCAATTGACAAGGGTTTTGTTAAAAATCTTTATGAGGTGACATTCGTGCTGATCTGCCGTTTTGGGCACCCATCAATTACTGGCAGTTAAAATTATATCTTTTAATGTTTGTGGGTTAAAAGCTATTAGCAATAATTGTGATTTTTTTGAGTTTATTAACAAATATGATGTAATTATTTTGTTGGAAACTTTTATTTCAGAGGAGGATAAAGAATGGATTGGGTCTAAGTTTAAGAGTTTTAATATTTATTCTGAGTTTGCTGTTAGATTTCAAAACTATGGTAGATATATCGGTGGACTGGTTGTGTTGTTAAACTCGGTGTCACGGTTTATAAATAATTTACATTTTAAAGTAGTAAATGGTATAATTGTGGTAGAAGCTAAGTTACTAGAAAATGAGCAGAGTATGCTTCTGATTCCTGTTTATTTAAATTTTAATAATTGGACTTATGATTTCCATAGATTAATTGAAACTGTAGACCATCTTCATAGTGAAAATATTATTATTATAGGGGATTTAAATGCGCGCATTGGGCAGGAAACAAAGGATATGCTTGATGGTGCTATTAACTGGTCTAATGATAGGTTATCAGAACAAAGAAAATCCAAAGATATTAAGGTAAATAGTAGAGGCAGGAAATTAATCGAGTTCAGTGAAAACAATGGATTTACAGTTTTAAATGGGCGATCTTGCAGTGATTTAGAGGGAGAGTACACTTTCATCGGTTCCAGGGGATGTTCAGTCATAGATTTAGCTTTGGTTTCAGCTGGTTGTCTGCACTTGGTCCACGACTTTAAAGTGGTGGCATACCCAGGTTCAGATCACCTGCCAATAGAAGTCAGCTTTTGTGTTGGTGGTCCTGGTGCGGTGGTTGGGAAGGGGGGGAGTCTGGTCCCTTTGTTGCCGAAACTAAATTGGAAGCTACAAGATTGCGACGATTTCCGCAAAAACCTGAGCGCTTTTGCCTCTCAAATTGAATTCACTGATAATAACCAGGATAATGTGGACCTGATTATTGCAACAATTAAAAGCGCAGCGAAAGGGAATTGCATTGTTCCAAAAGATAAGGTTTTACATAGCAAACAACCGTGGTTTGATTTTGATTGTTTAGTAGTTCGTAAGACCTTGTTTCGCCAACTTAACTTGTTCCGTAAGACTAACTCTGAATTGGTTAAGTTAAAATATCTGGAGAGCCAAAGACATTTCAAAAAGATGTGTAGGAATAAGAAAAAGCTATATTTTGATCAGTTAATCGACGGCGTTAGAAATGTGAAGGACTCAAAATCGTTCTGGAAAGCCATGAATGTTTTAAAGATAAAGGATCGAGATAAGGGCGTGGGAAACATTGCACCAGATAAGTGGGTCAACCACTTTCAGAATTTGCTTAACCCGCCGCTGTCGTCTGCTTGCGTCAGTTATGCGCTCCCTCTATTTGAGGACAATGACCTTGATTGCAATTTTACACTGCTGGAATTAAAAGCCGTGCTCTCAGGAGTAGGATGTAATAAGGCTCCAGGTGTAGACAGGGTGCCGTATGAGTTTTTTAAAAATTCTCCTGATGTTTTTATGTTGAAGTTATTAGATGTTTACAATAAAATGTTTTTCGAATGCAATTTAGCTCACAGTTTTAAAAAATCCATTATCTTTCCTTTACATAAAAAGGGGGATATTAATCAGGTTGAAAATTACAGGGGTTTGTCATTCATCGATTGCATTTGTAAAATATTTGTAAGTTTAATGAACAATAGATTGACTGAGTGGGTTGAAAAACGTAAACTTTTAACAGAATTCCAAGCAGGGTTTAGACAAGGTTATTCAACAGTGGATAATATCTTTAATCTTTATTCTATTTTAAGTTTGCAGCTTAATGTTAAGAGGGGAAAGGTGTTTGCATTTTTTGTGGATTTTTCGTCGGCTTTCGACACAATAGATAGGAATGCTTTGATATTTAAATTATCGTGCCTAGGTGTGTCGACGAAAATGATTGAAGTGATAAAAAATATGTATACGGGTACAGTTTCAAGTGTTTGGTGTAAGGAGGGGGTTACTGTACCTTTCAGCACAAATGTGGGTCTGAGGCAAGGTTGTATCAGCTCTCCGATTGCGTTCAGTTTATTTATAAATGACATGCCTGATTTTATTGGGGGAGGTCTTCATTGTGCAGGCAGAAAAATCAATATGTTGATGTACGCAGATGATATAGTATTTTTGGCTCCTACGGCGACCTGTCTACAGCTGATGATTTCAAATTTAGAAAAATATTGTGATAATTGGAATTTAAAAGTGAATCTAACAAAATCAAAGATAATAGTTTTTAGGAAAGGGGGGAAATTGGATAAAAATTGTAAGTGGTTTTATAAGGGGAATCCTGTAGAAATTGTAAATGAATATAAATATTTAGGTGTTTTGTTCACGACATCCTTATCCTGGGAGACACATTTTAAGGAGAAATCTAGAATAGCAAAGTTTGCTATAAGCTCATCATGGTCAAGATTGTTAAATTGTAGGACTGCTTCTTTTAGTTCAAAATGTATTTGTTTTAATTCCATTATTAGATCCATTTTGTGTTACAGTGCACAAGTTTGGGGTTGTTACGAAAGTGCACAGGTAGAAGCCGTTCAAAGGAAGTTCATTAAAAAGTTGTTAAATTTGCCTAGAAATACCGAAAATTATGTTTTGTATTTAGAGACAAATTTTGAAAAATTGCATATATTCACATTAGGTCAAAATATAAATTATTTAAAGAAAATCATGTTTAAAATGTCAACAGATCGTTTGCCTAGAGCTTTGTTAGGAGAAATTATTACAAAGAATGTTGGTTGTATTTCACTCTGGAAATTACTTGGTAGGAAGTTTGATATTGATATTGATTTTAAGTCGTGGGAACAACAGAGGGAGCGGGTGGTGGCGCAGCTTACGACAGTGGTCGAGTGCGAGAGAGAGCGATGGCGTGGTTTTTGTGTAGGGCAAGCGATGACAGCGCGATATCGAGACCAGTACTTGCTCCTTGACCTTGACCGCGGCGGCAGGACATTGCTGACTGATAAGGCTGACATTGGACTTGTGTCGTGGCTTATTAAGGCTAGAGCTCAGCTGATTCATTTGAATTATAAGCCATGGAATGATGGAAGTGGGCTTTGCTCCCTTTGTAATTTAAATAAAGATGAAACAGTATTTCATTTTGTAGCAGAATGTCCAATTTTAAAAAACATTAGATTTAAATGGTTGGGTAGACATTTCTTGGCTCAAGCTGAGTTTATTTCATATTTAAATGGGGAGGATTGGAGTTTTTTCTGTAAATTTTTAAGGGAGGCTTGGTTTTATAGATGGGATTTAATCCAAGAATTTAATTTTTAATACGACTCTCTGCTGCATGTACCATAGTTAGACGTTACTTATTTAATTGTTTTTTTTTTCCTTATGCATATATATATATTAAAAATGTTTTTTGTAAATGAAGTTAAAAGTGTATAAATGATTGTTTTTTTCCTTTTATATTACTGTACAGTTGGAATTGTTTTATTTTTTGTTAAGGAGAAGGTCTGTATGTTGCCAACCAAACAGACGGTCAACATTGACCATTGTTTAATAAGTGTTAGGTTTTTTATTTTAGCAGTACCTATGATTTTATTTTATTTTATGTGCAAGTTAGTGTTGTATATGTTGTACATATGGAGGTAGACTGTATTATGTAATTATGATTATTATGTACAATAAAGCACTTTTTCATTTCATTTCATTTCATTCATTACTGGCAGTAATACTTTTCTTACTTGAAGTATATTGTTATAACTTGTTAAAAGAACTTACAAGCTGGAGTGTCTAAATGTCTTAATTTCCTCATGCTTGGAAGTACTTTGTTGTGGATACAACGATTGTGTTTTCACAGAAAAAATCGCGTGAGAAAGCTAAGGATCGGCATGACACGGTGATGCGGCTGCTTGTGAGGCGTTACGTCACGGCCGAGCAACGCAAACGAGATGACTTTGGCATTACGGAGGATGACGTAATGGAGATCCGACAAGACATTTCCACCCTGCGATACGAGCTCATCGACATCCTGCGCTCCAACGGCATGAAGACTCCCAACGTCAACCAAGGAGATAACTCTTGTGCGTATAGATTATTTTTTAGCTTATGACTTCTCTTTTTTGTTTTTCTTCTTAATTGCAGGTCCTCGGAGGATTTCTTTTTGTTTCAGTCACCTGGTTCTTTATAATTAGTAAGGAGGTACTTGTTTCGGGTGTTTATTATTCCAAAAATTGCAAAATGATCTATGTGTCAGCACTTTGTTTGGGATTTTCGATTATTCAAGAATGAGGGCTGTTTCACTTTTCAGATATAAAAGCGTCTTGTTCTGAAGTATCCGAAAAATACTTGCTGCAAAATTAATATGACGAGTGGAAAGTTTAAAGGGCCACTCCGATCTTGTAGCAAATGTGAACAAATGGTAAGTACTGAATAGGTAAAATGCCTTATTACTCACTCATGTAACATTATAATATTGATTGTTTCAGTGGCTGGCAAGAAAGGCAGAGTGATGGAAAGACGATTGATGAAAGATTTCCAGATCGGTCTTGTGGAAGGAATCATCAATGAGGTAATCCAGTCGGAGAAGGGTCCAAAGGATGTGTTCAGCAAGATCGCTCAAGCCATCGGACGAAAGGCAGGGTCCAGCAAGAACAAGAAGGATTGGAACGAAATCGTCAGAAAGAACACTGGGAAGAGAGATCCGATCGGAAGCACAGCAGAGTTCCACCAACGGCTGTCTAGGCAGAGTTTGCGAAGGCATATCATCGAAAACAAGGCGGACATGGACCCAGAGAGGTTAGTCGAGTACAACCCGATGTTGTCTACAGTGAGTCCTGCGACTAGAGTCGCCTACGCCAAGTTCAAGATGCCGAAGATAAAACAAGAGTTTGACCAGAAGGAGACCAGTGGAGCGAGCGAGACTAATTCTCAAGCTGGAGACGACGATGTATTTCAAGGACCAGCTTCTGTGAAGAAGGTGTCGGAGACAAAACAAGACTCGATTGTAAGACCTCGTCCTCGTCCTTCAATTCCGTCGATTACGAGTGTCGCATCACAGAAAAGCGTGCCGTCCGTTGAACCCGCTAAAGCTACTCAGAAAGATACTCCGCCTCAGTTACAAGCTGCACCGAGTACTCAAGCTTCTGTCCGGAGGGAGTTTAGACCAAGGACTCCGATACCGGAAGATCCCAGAGAGGATATGGCAAGTCCTGAGCCTTTGACACCAAAAAGTAGCACTTCTTCCAAACCAACCACTCCTCGACCACCGAGCAGAACTTCTACAGGTTCTAAATCAGAAGGTAAAGAAGAGGTGAAGAAAGATGAGAAGACAGAGGTAAAGAAAGATGAGAAGAAAGAGGTGAAGAAGGATGAAGCACCAAAACCATCAACTAGCACAGAACCTAGAAGACCTGCAGGACCACCGAAATCTGGAGGGAAATCAAAGGTTACTGGAGAAGTTCTACATGGGTGGTTGTAAAATAACTTTGTTCTGTTCGTTTGTATTGGAGTATAAATAAGATGGAAACTATTTTAAAATATCTTTGGAGTATTTAAATGGTTTCAGTTCTACACAGGGGTTCAATCAAAACTTGACTAACTTTTTTAAAGGGGCCAATATTAAATTTGGTATGTTTTGGGTTGAGAAGAATAAAATGTGGCAAATAAAAATCTAAGCAGCTTCAAATAGAAAGGCAAAGAGCTGGTGCAAAGTTCAAAGATTTTGTGATCTTTTTTGGAATCTTTGAGGTCTTGTACTCAAAACATTGTATGGAAAACATTTCAACAGAAAATTTACCTTTAGTACATGTTTCTAGAATAAAATTTGCTCTGAAGGACAGTTATAAGTACAACCTGTAGAATATGGAATATGTTTGTCAACTTTATTTATACTCCTCACATAAACACTTGTAATATTTATTTTTAGTTTGTACGTATTCTTTACATTTTTGCCAATACAAGGTAGTGCTAACAGAATTGTAAATGGTATGGTTGAATTTTTCACACAAATTTGTGTCTGTTGAAATAAATGTATTTATGGAACTTGTTAGCATCTATTTTGTCTCACATCTCTCACACCAATTCAATTGTACGAGTATCATCCTTTAAAAAGTATAAATAGGTAATCCATAAAACGGGTAGTAAAGGCCTGTGCTCGTCAGCTTCATGGTTTTTTGCCTAATATCGTCTGCTCAAAGTCAAGTCTTTAACCAGCTGGAGTAAGATAATTAAAATATCAGACATATTTTATTTAAGCTTAACTGAAATTTTCCAAAGAGCATACTTCTTCTTTCTCCAAGTGCCTTTTATTCTCTTACTAAATGTGTGGCAGTTTCATCAAAGTGTGCAAGGTGTTTCTGAGTCCACTTTTTCCTGCGTCCCTGGCGATTTCCTGACTTATCCAGCAGAATTGTTATGTACATGTAACAGAGTTAGGGATCTTTATTTTGCCAGTTACCGGACTTTTCATTCCTTTCTGTAACTTGTGACAAGAAACTCTCTTGAGCACCACGTAATTGTTTTCCCAGAATCGAGGAAAAACCTGAATAGATTTCCTCACAAGTATTGAGGTTAACTAGTCTATTATCTTGCGACCAGATTAGGAACAAAGCATTGCGAAGAGTTACCATTGGTATGAGAAGAGTGTTGTGCTTGGGAAGAATTAACTTGAGTAGTGACCATTGCAACGTCATGGGAGAGTATTTCTTGTTGACTAAACAAGGATTTTGATCAAAGTTCTGCCTGCCATGCGGTAGAAAATAGCTCAAATAATCTTGCTGTATTCAGTGATGACACCATTGAAGACAAGAGGGACCAACCAACAATCAGATGGGTGATATTCTGAAGAGGCCGTAACATACTTGAGGAGGGTATCATTGAACTTCCGTAACCACCGCTATTAACATTGCTCTGTGGAATTCATCCCTTCAGCATGGAGCACAAGTCTTTCCAAGGCTGAAAGCAGAAGAGACTGGAAAAGAAGAGCTAGATAAGATGGAGAAGAAAGTTTTGATCAGCAAGAAAGGAAATTTGCTGATCACAGAACCCAGATCAGAATAGAAGGGAACTGGGGTTTGGCTAGGGTACCTCGGGGTTGCCAGCCCTAAGGGCCTCCCGTATGGTTGAAAGCCAACCACCCCTGAGGTATTCTAAGGATTAATAAATTTTAGAATATAGTGTAGTTGTTTAAAATATCTTACTTTATTACTTTTAAGGTGAATCAAAAAGTTTTCTTTTAACTGAGCCTTAGAAACGTCTATGTCCAAATTGGATTACAAATTTTAATATTCTTGCGGAACTAAGTGAAACTTGAAAATTTAAAGATATATGGCTGAAACTTGCATTATAAACAATAAAACCCAGGTTACAACCATTTTCTTTTGAACTTTATGCTTCTCCAGGTTTCGCACAACCTGTAATAGCACCAAGTTGTTACTGATTTTGAATGGACAATGAAAACTTTCAATTATAAAATTAATAAAATGACTCTCAAAGAACAAGGCTATTATAAACAACAAAATTTTCAGATATCTTGAATTTGCTACAAGGATCATATGAAAGTTAAATAATGTCAATGTTTCCTAAAATTATAAAGTGGAAGGGAAATAAATCAAAACCGGATTCCATCATGAAAATAATGGTCTTTTATTAGTATTCAGTCTCTATAGTAGTAATATTTGATCACAAATGACAAAATCATGGTCTAACACAACAATACTGGGTATCGCTAAGACTTTAGTATTTCACATGAATAACATTCAGTATAGTTTTAACATGATAAACAAAATAACACTGTATGTGAGCGAATGGATTATACTGTAATATTAATTCAAATTGGGTTTCTTCAGTTTTAATTTATGACTAAAACAGCCTAAAATTGATTATAAGGCAAGGCCTTGTGGTTGATTAAGAGGTTTTTGGAAAGGGGTGAAGTTTAGGTAGCTTATCTGAGAAAATAAAGGAATTTACGTCTTACAGATACACTAAAAAGGCCACACAACATGAAACTGAAATTTTTTCCTGAGAAGGACTTCTTCAGTAGAGATTAATGGGAAAAGATTTGACAAGTTGAAGAAAAAAATCTTGTAGGTTAACTCGCTTAATAAGTCTAACACAAGGACTAAAAATCAGAGTTATGATATGCAACGCTTTTGGTATCTATAAGCTCCTAGACAAAAACTAAATGAATCATAAAATATATCAAAGCGGAGAATCAATAAAAAGACTTGTAAAAAAAACCCCGTACTTTATAGAAAAGACAATTTTAAAATTTAATGAACATATTCTTTACACTTATTAATTTGTGGTATCGAAACAAAAATACACACGCAAAAATACTCACATACAGCATAAACTCTGCCATAAACGAATCCTATTACACAGCCAAATTTATTGAATACCTACACATCGAAAACTAACTTCTCGTAATTAAATAGTTTATCACATGGATTTAACACCAAAATTCAAAATTAAATTCACAAGAATACATCATATTGCTTTACATATTGCAAGTGAAATTCTTAGACCTCGAAAAGATGAACGCACACTATAGTTTTACAAGATGAGCTTCGGTTCTTAGTTATATATTGTAAATGTATCCAATATGTACAATTGTTAACCATAAAATTAGACAATACATGATAATACAGGAAGGAATAAAAGGTTTTCCTTGCTGTGCCATGAAAGTTTTACCATAAATTAAATCTTTGACTATTGATAATATGAAGTAGATATTCATTTTATTAAGTGAAGCCAGATTTAGAACGAGAAAGAACTTAGTGCATTCAAGTACTGAAAGTAAGTGCTGAGGTTAACGATTCAGTTTGTATTAAATTCAGTTTAAAAATGGCACTATGGATGAGCCATACAACTATGTTCTTTTTCAGTGAAACCGGCTATATCCTTGTCCATATAGATTGAATATCTACTTCAATATACAGGGTGGACCAATGCTTCTAGGTGTTGACATTGCTTCGGCAAAAACCTCAAACAAACAAACTCAACCAGGGATTAAAATACTTTCCAGTTAATTTTCTAAAAGTGAAGCTGTGCCGATTAATTGTTGATGTGTTTAGTGCGTAGAATACCTCTACCGAACATCTCTCACTCTATAATTTAGTAACACAACTTTTTAATGCACATTCTAAAACAGTATCAAGAGAAATCAATAGATACAATTTAAAATCCTTAAAAGTCAAAGAAACAGAATGAATTACCGATTAATTATTGATATGAATATTTTAACTGGAATAACTCTTTTAGAAAAAGGATCAAAGAATTTTTATCGGGATTGCAGAAAATGTGGCATCATCACTTTGAAGTGTTTTCCATTTCTTGCCTGGGTATTAAAAAAAGTTCAAAAGTCTTGCAATTGTCATAGAAAAACAAAAATCAAATTTTGAATAAAAATTGTGCATGTACAGAGATAGACAATTTACAGGGCATAATTTTAAAAAATATATAATTATTTATAGTTGGCGACAGCATTTAACTTATACTTCACTATACAAGGTAGATAATATATAATATTTTGAGGTGTTAAATTCTTTGAAATAGAAACAAACAACCAAAATGGCACAAAACTTATCTTAAGTTTACAAGAAAAATTAAGTTAATTACAAGTTAAGATTTCTTAAGAGAATTATATCTTATCCTATTTGGTGGTGTTTAGATATTAAGTATCTTAGATATAGACAACAAACAATAGATAGAAAAATAATAAGTAATTCCTCCATATTTATAAAGTTTAACTCTGTCAAATTATAAGCTCTTTCCAATTTCTCATATTTTAGAACACACAAAAAACACTGCTTAAAAAAATATTTGAGATCATAGATCTACAACAATTAGTAGTTGTACTCATTTTTAAAACCAGGAATTTCATCGACAGACTTTAAAACTACAAGGAGGAATTACTTATATCCATAGAGTAATAAAAGAAAGTTTAGTAATATATTAGCAAAAATATGTTTATACTTAAAGCTAAATTGCTATAATTGAACAACAGTATAAATGTCATAACATACACTAAACAAATGTTTAATTAAATGACTAATTGAATAAAATAATACTTACAATAAAAATTTACATAAAACACAAAAAGTAACAAAGCAAAATATACACTATACAAGAAAATTGTATGTCTTTTTTTAAGGTGCTTGACTTAAATATTTTGAAAAGAGCTAATTTTTTACCAAACATATTTAGAACCTTTCTTATTAACCATCTTACATCATTTTTACAGTTACTCCTTATACCAAATAACAAAATTTATATTAAAAAACCTACATAATTGGGATTTGAAGAAAATTTGGATGGCTATTCTTGTTCTGCTTTTTTTTATAAATAATCACACAAAAACTACCCAAGTCGTTTTGTACTAAATGTAAGAGCACCAAGAAATCATTAATATTTTAAAAACACAATACAAAATACAGTGCATTAATAATATATTTGTCTAAAAAAATCAGTAAGAAGGCAATAGTTAGGAAACGTAGTACAGTAAAACTGTTCACAAAGTTTAATCAAAGAAGTTCCAACATACGTTTAAGCGGTAAAGTTAGGATGAAGTTATGGCTATAAAAAACCACTTGGTTCGAAAATCAAAAGAAAAAAATAACGAAATATTTAAGCGTTTATAAACTTGGGGTGACTAGAGAGCACGGTTTTCCGTGGTGAGGAAAATTAAATGTTTCCTCCAAAATTATAACTTATCTTGATCCAAACAAAATTCTATAATTTTTTTAATCATGGCGAACATTATTTTGTCGCTGCAAAACATGACGCAGTTTTTCCATAAGCCGTAAGAACTAGTATAGTTCAAATAATAAAAATGTATAAAAACAATTAAACATTTAGCTTGTATGTTGGCAAAAACCTAAGTCTTACCAAACCAAATAACAATTAATATTTTAAACCCATTGAACAGACCAAAATATTTTGGATTAGGGTTGCTGAACATTAAGCTTCTTTCCCAATGCATCCTTATTTAAAAACTTTACGGACATTGAAAACAGTAATTGTAAAGTTTGTTCAACGCACAT